GTTGGAATTTACTGTAGAAATCCTTTTTTCTTTTTCACCCTGTTCTAGTTTCGTGATTCTGGTTTCATGTCCTTCTAAAGCTAGTCTTAATTCTGCATTTTCACGCTTAACTTTAGCATTCTTGTTTCTAAGTTCCGTATTCTCCGCCTGAAGCTTGAAATTCAATTCTTCTAATAAATTGATTTTGGATTGTGTGTTTGCCATTGTTTTATATAAGATGCGGATATATTCAAAAGTGAGTTTATAAAAATTAGTAGTGCGTGACTTTTGGTCACGCGGTAAACCACTTTCGCAAGAAAAAAATCCGATCATATATGGGCATCGATGACTGTACAATGTAATAAAAATCCCAGAAATACACATGCAAAAGTAAACTGACTATGTATGCGAAATTAACTATCAGGGCCAGCTTTATTGATATAAAAAATAATACAAAGAATTCAAAGAACCATTCATTTATTACTTTTCAGCGTTATATCTGTAAAAAGCCCAACAAAATCAAATCCGCCAATATATATAAAATTGAACAACAGGTGCCATATTTTTACTCGTATTTGAACCGTTTTAAAATCTTTTCTGGTATACCCGTTTTATTCACCGCATCTTGAATGTCGTGAAATGGTCTTTTTGTAATTATTTGTTCTGCTCGAATCTTACCAACTTGGCTCACTAACTCTAGTTGTGCACGACCTGCTGTATTGATATTTGGAGGACCTTCAGCTGCAAATATGAAAGCCCGACCGGCAAACGGACCAAAATAAGCATCCCAGTTCTGTTTATATACAATTCCAGAGTTTCGTGGAAGCTCGATGTTGAGATTGTCTTTGGTCGTAATAAATATAAAATAATCATCTTCAGATGCTGATTTTTTTCGTTCATCATTATAGTTCTTTTGGGTGAAAGTTGAATTGATATTCAGTAATTTGTATTGATGAACTTCATTTACGTCTCCAGGCGTATCCAACCCAAGAAAGACATCGCCATGTGGTGCAGATACTCCATTGATGATGCAATGTGTACATTTCCGGACGTCAATTGTATCGTGTTCACACTTAATATACCAATGCTCAGAGTTGCTTCTGGTTGAACGTGTATCTACCTGCTGGCTGGCAGTATCCAATTGTAGATGATGGTTTTTGAAACAGATGTCACCATTCAATTTTGCTCCATAATAAATTTCTAAGATGGATGTTATTTCCCCTTCGTTCAACATCTTAGACTTTAAGCAACGGAAAGAAGCATTGAAATATTCAAAGTTTTGCCAAGAACAATACTCTGTTGCTAGAGATTTATCATTCTTTGATAAGTGCTCTTCATAGTCATCAAACCGCCAGTGTTGAAGCTGAGGGTCATCTCTGTCAGCAAACTGCCCTACCATTATCCAAAGCCATATGTATGGCATGGTGAGAAATCCATAATTGGAATTGCCAACTTTTTCAAAACGAAACATTCCAATGCGAGTGACTTTATCAGGCGTCAGAGTTGATTTGATTATAGGTTTATATAGATCCAAGAGCTTGTGAGTTAACACTGCCCGTACTATTTGCTTGGCTTCATCAGAAGTATATGAAAAAGCTTTTTTATATAGATTTTCGAGAGTATTACGAAGAGATCCCATAAGATCGCTGATATTGAAATTATTAATGTTATCCTGTGACAAAGAATCTTGCAGAACTTCAAGAGCCCGTCCATGTCCACCACAGTCGCTAACAAGAAGCCTTATGATAGGGTCACTTATATCAAAAACATCTTTTATAATACCATCATGAGTAACAGTTGGAGGTTTTAGTGAAGGTACTGGTAGAAATACACGTTTTCTTGATGATTCTGCAATAAAATTTTCGATGGGTTCAGCAGTTGTTGCTGTACAGCAGAAAATCACAAAAGTTTTCCATAACGAAAGATCTCCAATATTGGTTAATGTTTTGTAAAACGAAGAGTTTTTATTGAGTCCATCGTTTCTATCGCTCATAGTATTATGCAGGCCATCAACGACTAAGATAACTGTAGCATCCTCCAATTTCTTATCTTCATATTTGGCAATTAAAGCTAAGACATCCCATGGAGATGGTGGCTCATAATTCCCAATGATATTGTCCAATGTTCTTTCACCGGAAAAAAGTTGCAAAAGCATTCTGGTACCAACAGCCAGATATGCGTCTTGTTCGGATATTCTTAAACTATTACCGTTTTCATAGCTAATATTGAAGACCCAAGCATTTTCAAGACGACTTCTTAGTTCTGAGTCTTTAGGTGCACATTCAACCGCCGTATGATGGAATTCAGTAGCATTTCGGGACTTTCCAATACCAGGCCCAGAAATGAACAAGTAAATCGGAATATAGTTTTTGTCTCGTTCCCCGTTCTTATGATGTTGGTAATGCCTTAGGAGTTCGGTTTGCAATGTTTCACGCAATGACCGGTCTAGTTGATAATTCCATCGCAAACCACTACTGTAAAGCAAGGGCGTTGGTTTTTTATATGGCAAGCCTAGTAGGGCAATAGAAGGTTAGTTAGTTATGATACAAAAATAAAATTAAGATCTATTGCTAATACCATTTGGAAAAGCATTTGAGATTTTTAATTTCTGGTATGTGTACGGAATGAAAGCAGAATCTTGTGAACAAAACATTAAAAATTTTAAAACAAGATTAAGTATTAATATTATTGGCACAAGTTAGTAAATGAAATTATTGCAGAGAAAGCAGTAGGTTTGATGCAGTCGTGGTACTACTTACCCTGTCCTTCGCCCTTAATTTTTTCAATCAATTTCGAGATTTTTTCAGCCGGTCCAAGTTTCAAACCAACTTGCATTAGTTTATCCACGTTCAGTCTGAGGAAAGTTTCGCCATCAACTTCTTGTTCACGAAGAATATTGAAATGCTTATCCTCCAGTCCTATATCTTGCTCGCGTAAAAAATTTATCAGATCCTCCGTTGCCTTATATCCTTCAACTTCATTGATTGTAGGAGGTGAAATTGTTTTTCCGGTAGAAGCAGACATATTCACGTATTTAGTTTTT